ATTGGACCCCTATCGTCTATTTACGTCTAATAAGTGAACAAAAGTGATGATGTGGCCCCCTAAACTATTTTGTGGAGGGAAAATTAAGTCTTTCCCTCCACTTTGAAGCCTTCCCTTCCGACTATAAAAATAAAGATCAAAGAACAAAAAAAACATAGTGCAAGGAAATCGTTTGGAATAGAATAAATGAGGAATAAGCAAAACTCAAGAAATCAAGGGAGATGGAACGCAAGTGGTATGGAAGACATGTTTTGCAACGTTTGTGAAAGAAGAAGGTTGATACACACATTATAGACTGATGCAAATCCTCGGAAGAGATTTCTTAGTTGCCCTAACAATGATTAGAATCACTTCACCTGAGTAAACCTAGCCATGTGCAATCAGGCAATGCAAATCACTCATGGTCTTTTGAAGAAGATGAATAAGTTGGAAGCACAGCTGAAGAGAAGGACTGGAAAAGAGAGAAAGTTATGGATTTGCTTGCTTATATCATGGTGCATGGTTGTAGCAATGTGGTTTGTAATGTAAATTTTGGAGTATTTAATGATATATGGCCATGTAAGAATGAATGGAATGTTGAATTTGTTTATGAATGATATATAATGGGTGAAATTTATGAATGCAAAATTCTAATTCTGTCTCAAGCATTTTGTGTCCATTGCAAAGTCCATGAACAAGCACCAAATAACAAAGCAAAACAAAACATTATAGGCACAATTTCCCATTCACACACAATTGTCCATCTATCAACTGATATCCAATAACTTCATAACAGATAATAGAGTATTTTGTGTCCATCCCTTAACTTATATCTAATAGCAAAACAAAACACAAGTCTACACTCAACAATGATAAAACTGATAAAACAAAAGACACAATTTCTCATTTACACACAATTGTCCATCTCTCAACTGATATCAATTTGTCATTCATACTGTGCAAAACAAAACACACAATTGTTTAATCCAAGTAAAGTGATTGCAACCAGTGGAATTACATCGTACCAAGTTGAAATTCCAAACGTTACAACACTAATAAAGAAAGGGTAGCCAATACAAAAAGAGGCATAGCATGTACAAAAAGCCCCTTGCCACTATTAATATCATAGACATTGTTACTTGGGGTGATCGCAGATCGGGTTAGGTGGTGACATCCTATCCGTTATCCATCTGAAACTAGGAGGATTGGAAAAAGAATCAATTCACATCCCTCCACCGGTTTGGCGAATACGGATTGAATGAGCCATGCAGATTGGCTGATGGATGCGATTGGTTTGGCGGTTTGATGTTTATAAATTTTTGACATTTTTTTGAATTATAATTCATTACTTTTACAATCTCCAATAACTAGTAATTTGAAAAATAATGTATTATTTGTCTATAATAGGCCACAACACCACGCATGCATATTTTTAAGGTATTGTTTTTCATTTTTACAAAATATATATTTTATTATTTCTACTTTATGTTGTTGCTTGTTAGCAATTCCTTTCTTATTTTTGTTTTAAACTTCATCTACGGGTGGATTGGGTTCATGCGGGTGCGAGATGGTTGATTTGCCATCTGAACCATATTAGCAGATTTTGAAATATTTCATCTGCATCTGTCTGCCAAAAGACACGCATCCGCCCAAAATCAATTGGATTAGATTAGATCAGTTGGGTTGAGCGGGTTGGACATATCCATGATCACCCCGAATTGTTATCTATTTGGTTATACTTCATAACCAAAACAACAAAAATCATCCATAACATTGTTTTCCATTTGAATACAACCCAAATACAAAACACATTCTTCATTTGACTACCAGTTTTAGCTGACTTCTTGCTTCCACTCAGTGGAGATTTGATAGCACTAGCATGTAGACCACTCTTTCTCTCCATCTCATTTGACCTTCTTGCAAAGAGGTGTTGGTGTTGGAACTTATTGAAGATGTTGTCATATTCTTACTTGTATACAATGGAGTTGAGTCACTTGTTTCCAACATTCTTCTTTTAACCTACAATAATAGTACAATGTTAGGACATATGTAGTAAGATATGATTTAAATTAACAAAAAAAAAAAAAAAAAACAATGAAAACTTATAGGCAGTTTCTTTTGCCTAACTTTACTTGCTTGTATGACAAATTAAAAAAAAAAAAAAAAAAAAACAATGAAAACTTATAGGCAGTTTCTTTTGCCTAACTTTACTTGCTTGTATGACCTAACTCTTAGGCTGGCTTCCTTGCGGTTGGGTCTGCAAAAATTGAAAACAAATGTTACCAATGGTGAACTTAACAAAATGCATAAAAATGAATGAATTGAATAGAACTCAAAGGTTCTTTCAAGTATTGGAATTGACCTTTCACTTTGCATGTCCTCCTGTTGTGTCCCACATTTCCACAATTCTTACATGTCATCTGACTTCCTCTCTTTCCCAACTTAGTTGCATCACTTGTAGGAGTTGATATATCAATTTCCTTCTTTTTCTTTTGTCTTGGCCTTCTAGCTCTTTTCTTCACATCAAATGGTAGCACCTTAACATATTCAATTATTGGCCACATTTGTCCACCATTGATAGAACTCAACATGTTCTCATAAATCCTCAAGTAAGTTTCCACTTTTATAATATTAATGCAGATACTTTTTTGGTTCTTCATCTATATAGTAACAATAGTGTAACGCCCTAAAAATATTTAACATAAAAACATAAATCAAAATATAGTTAAACACCAAAAGATCCTCTTTCTCATTGAACTAAGGTTTTCATTTACAATTCCATGTTCAACATCTTAAATACGCTTCCATAAGACAGTTCAACAAGTTAGAGAGTACAAGATAGAAGGCCTTAATGGTGTACAAAATATTCAAGGCTTTGCTTTGTTACACAAAAATGGACTTACAATCCTACACAAATAAGCTTGGAGCTTCCACATTCAAACATCCATGAGCCTCAGAGCTCCAATCAAAACAAAAGAGTATACTTCATCTCATTGAGATGGTGGCACATCACCAATTCCTGAAAATGTTAGATAGGGATTAGCTATATGCCCAGTAGAGATACATTTAACAGAGCATTTAAGTATTTGCACTACTACAAAACTGGTTTTCACGACACCACATCAACGACATACAATAAATGCATGCCGTGATTTCTCACTTTTACGACTTGCTTTTTTTACATGTCATAAATAATTTTCCAACCATGGTGTGTCTATTGCGTAAGCCGTGAATGGTAGTAACGATGATTTTTTTACGGCTTGCAATGTTTTCCATAAATAATAAAAGTTTTTATGACATGCATATGGCATGCCATTAATACATCAACTATACACAACACACATACACCAGTCGTGAAATGTATTGCACTTTTCACAGCGCACACAACGCCCACTGTTAAAAGTATTGCACTTTTAACGACGCACACATCTCCTGCTGTTAAAAGTATTACCTTTTTACAACCCATAATGCATGTCATGAAAGGTACGACCAAAAAAAATAACACCAAAATGAAATTTTCTGGCCCCAATTCACCAAAAAAAAAGAAAAAAGAAAAATAAAGATAATAATCAAAATCGCCTACTCTCAGCCCTAACACACGAAATCAACCTGAGTTGGCTTCTTCGGCGAGACTGGTTCCCAAGCCCAATCTCTCCCAAATCGACTTCTTCCTCTCCTCTCGTGATTCCTGGCTTCACATCCTCAAACAGATCGCTGAGGGCGATCTCAAATGCCCTCTCAAATCCGATTTCATCAAACTCGCCTTCACCTTCAACAAACTCTAAACCTCCGATTTTTACTTCTCCAAAATCAGTCTCACCAATCCCAAATATTCTGTAAATTTGGTCTCTCTCTCTCTCTCTCTCTGCATATATATATAAATATCTCTAGATCCATGATTTACAATATTGATGTGATCATCCCTCTCCCTTTATCTTCATCATTTTCTACATCACTTCCATTTATAAGCTTCAATTGATGGAATATTTCATCGTCGATTGAAGAAGAATCTTGATTCCGCTAAGCAACAACTGATGACGATGTCTATGGCAGACTAGTCGAAGATTTTCCATCTTCTGACGATACCATTTTGCAACAAGGGGTCTCTCTTTTGTCAAACCAAGTCAGATTCACTTCTTTTCCGAGTTCTCTCTCACCTGGTATCGAAAACCCTAGGTCAGTACTCTCTAAACTGTTAAAATTATTGATTTTCTCATATTTATATTTATATATGAAGTTTTTGATATTAGTTTCTAGAAGTTTGTTTTTAATTCATTGTGTGCTAGGGTTTATATCTTTGAATTTTTTGAAGTTAAAATTTTGGGTGTTATGATTGAATTCAGTATATTTCATTTCAAGATTTCATTACTTGAACAAAAATTTGCTATGCATTTTATTTTAAAACGTACATCGGTCCCCTATTTTAAGGAGGAAAAAGAAAAAAAGTGATATTTGCAAATTGAATTAAACCATGTAGATTTGGACATCATTTTGAAATCTATTTCAAAAAGGAGAAAGAAAAGAAAAAAAAAGAACATAAAGAAAAATCATTTACTCAATTCGTTGTCTCATACCCAAAGAAACATGAATGTAAAGCAAAATCAATAGTAGTGCACAGAAATGAGCAGAGCAATCTATAATTGTCACTGTTATTGATAAGTAATAAAATTCTTCTAAGGGAAACTATCAATAGAAAATTTTAATAAAGTTCTTATCTTTTATCCAAAAAAAAAAAAGAAGAAGAAGAAGAAGAAGAAGTTCTTATCTTTTACCAAGACTTGGGAATAGATAAACTTAGTATTGATTAATTTCTAGTACACCTTTGTGTATATATATATGTATATACATTCTGATTTGATGAAATTTACATATGTAGGTTCATAAAGCTGTGTGCTGGTGCTAGGAACACTTTACCTTCAATAATTTTAGTACTCCAAATTTATAGAGTTGTCAGTGCCTTTTCCCAAATCCTAGGAAATCTCGATTTGTATATCTTACTAGAAATTGAATTTGGATTATTTATTTACATTCTCAGGTCCTGCTTTTATTCATTGTCACTAGTGTCAACATGTACCATGGAATTTTCGCTGCTTCTATTGCTTTAAAAGTCAATTTTCCACCATGCTGATTAGTGTTACCATTTTGCTCCATGAAATAGTTGTGAAAAATAGTAGTACAAAATCCAGGGGGGAAAAAAAGTTGAGAAAAATAAACAAAATGAAATAGTTTAATCGTTTTTAGTCCATGTTTGGATTGATGAAGAAAATTTAGTTTCATATATATACATTTTGTCTTATGATGCTTGTCATTGTTTTAAATTCAGGAGTTAAACTTAATTGTTTTTTATTAAGTTTGTGATTTCAGATTATTTGTGATTTTAGATTGTATTGAACCATTAAACTTAATTGTTTTTGCCTGATTTGGTAATTCTAGCAGGCTTCATATTTGTCTATATGACATATATTAATATTGATTTTATATAAATCAGGATGCTTCAAATGAATTGAATTACGATACCATTCTTCTTTGGAAAGAGAAGATTTTCCGTTGCTCTTTTATGATACCTGTTCAAATTCAATGCTCGGTTGATGATTTATCCTAATCTATTCCACATGTGATGGGATTTAACTCATGATTAATATGTAATGTATGCCTTCATGGATGTGGTTTTTAAATAAGAAAGAGAATTTTGTTTCAGCTATGCGAGAACCTATTATCTTATGTTATAAAAATCTTGTTGATTTGTATGTGCTTTTTGTTTCAGCTATGGATTGGATATTAATATGAATTCCATTTTTATGAAAAAAAAAAAGTAGGGGCCAAAAGTGAAGGGGAAGAAGTTTCCATTTTTATATCTTGTCATTGATCATTCAGTTCAAGTTGATGTCATTAGATCAGAAAATGCAGTTTAGGTAAATATGGAGCTTGAATTCCAAAGGAACAAGGAGAAATTTGTTTTTCTAGAATGGGGGTCGAACGCTTTTCACAATAGGCTTGTTGTTCCTCCAGGTTCTGGTATCATGCATTAGGTATGGGAGTTAACATAGCAGCTTTGGCGAATTATAGTGTTTCAATATTTTAAATTGCTTATCTATCTCCTCTTCTTTTTCTTTTTTTATTTTTTTTTAATAATTGTTTTTCATGCAATTTTGTTTAAATCCTTTCAGTTTCCCTTTTTAGGTTTTGTTTCCAAAAAAAAACCTTTTTAATTCTTATTCTTGTATAGAGTGAAGTGAGCTTTGATAATTTCTGTTGGCTTAAGTTTTTCCTTTCAAGCTTTGTTAGTTTATAGAGTGAAGTGACTTTTGATAATTTTGGTTTGCAGGAGATTTCTGATGAGATAAATATGAAAGTAAAATAGTACGTTAAAGGTGAAGGTGATAATTTTGAGGTATGGCACTTTTGTTTGAGATTCTTAGACACTTGTATTTCTTTCTTCTTCTATTGCCCTAAAAATCATATACATTTGCAAGGGTTACGAGATAAAAAAATTGAAAGCTCAGCTTGCTATTAGAGAAGAATTATATGGAAAATATGTGAAGGAAAGTTGAATTTTATGTAATTTGATGTTCAATCAATTGATTGAGTTCTTTTCTCTACTTTTTAAGTCTGACGTAATTTGTAAGTTCAGGTTCATCTAATCCTGATAATGACATCTTTTGTGTTATTTCTTTCTTTTCTTTTCTTTTTTTTGTGTGGAATTCTTTTCATACTAACTGGTTTCTTACATTTATGCCTAATAAACTTGTGTTTGTCTTTGTTTTTATTTTTAGAAGAGAGAATTATTTCAAGATTTGGCTCTACTATTGGTTTCTCTCTTTGTAGCAGATAAGCAAGTTGACACTCTATTTTGTCAAAAAAAATTTGCTCGAAAAAAGTTACTTTTTTCGTTTTGATAAATGTATGTTTGAAGCAATGTGGTAAGAGTTGCAAGCTTAGATGGTTGAATTATCTTAAACTAGACATCAAAAGAGGTAACATATCCCCACTACAACAAAAAAACATTTTTAATAGCATTCTTCTTAAAATGTTATCAAATATAATGCATTTAGTATCAAATGACATGAATATTTTTTTCTAATGAATTCATATTTTATTGGCAACAGGGTTAGTTGCTCCAGCCACTGCTGTAGGTTTAGGTACCTTAGCACATACATTGGGCACTCTCGTCCCTGTGATAGGAGCAACTGGGTTTGCTGCAACTGCTATAGGAATTGTTGTCGGTAGTTTTAGATAATCTCTTAATAGTTTTGGATATGTTTAGAAACTTAGATATGTATAGTTTTGGATGGTTTAAACTTTTTCAATAGTTTAGAACTTAAGGATATAGTTTTCGAATGTTTGGAAATGTATGGACAATTGTTGAATGTTTTATAATTTATGAATATAGTTTCTTTTTAATGGTTCAAACAATATTTTGGTGGTTGATTGATGTTTTGTGATGCTTGTTTGTAATGTTTGTTAGAATGTACAAAATTGTTTTTTCTAATGAATTCATATTTTATTGGCAACAGGGTTAGTTGCTCCAACCACTACTGTATACATTGGGTATCCTCGTCCCTGTGATAGGAGCAAGTGGGTTTGCTGCAGCTACAACTGCTATAGGAATTGTTGTTGGTAGTTTTAGATAATCTCTTAATAATTTTGGATATGTTTAGAAACTTAGATATGTATAGTTTTGGATGGTTTAAACTTTTTCAATAGTTTAGAACTTAAGGATATAGTTTTCGAATGTTTGGAAATGTATGGACAATTGTTGAATGTTTTATAATTTATGAATATAGTTTCTTTTTAATGGTTCAAACAATATTTTGGTGGTTGATTGATATTTTGTGATGCTTGTTTGTAATGTTTGTTAGAATGTACAAAATTGGTCAAATAGAACCCTGTTGAGTAATAAAAAATAAAAACTACATATTCTACGGCATGCATAATAAGTCGTTGTATTACATATTTTACGACGAGCAATGAGAGTTGTGATTTATCCTAAGAATTTACGACATGCAAAAGTAGTTGTAGAAAAATCAAACACAACATACAAAATCCGCTGTTAAAGGGTTTTTAACGGCGTGTAAAAATAGTTGTAGAAAAATCAAACACAATTCACAAAATCCGCTGTTAAAGGGCTTTTACGGCATACTACGACATGCCGTTGAAAGTAAATGACTTTCCATGAATGGTCATAACATGACGTTACCTTGCGTGTATCGTATTCACGACGTGCATTTGGTGCCGTAAAAACCCTTTTTTTCTTGTAGTGTTAAACATTTACATGGCATCATCATAACTCGAACATAATTTGAAGTTTATGTACAAAAATAAAATGGGTAAGAAAACAAATACATTTATGTTTCATTGAAGACCTTTTTCAACACAAGGGTGGTAAATATGCTATGAATCCCTCGTAGGAGCCCCATACTAGTTATACGTATAGGTTTATAACCCAAAATATTCCCTACATTTGTCGGCTATTAATACGGTAGGTAGGCACCCAAAATCATCTGTTTTTCCACTTTTACCGACCATTATACAGCAGGACCATGGACACTCAAAAATATTTTCCCACATTTGTCCGACGATAAGCTCAAGATAGGGCAATTGGGCACCTTAACTCCTCGCGTGGGTACCAATATAGCACATTGTTCTCAAAAACCGACTCTCTACTCAGACTCATACTCCATTTACCCCCTTTTTTTACCATATTCCAAGTAATCAAGTATTCAATAATCATGAGATAAATAGCGAAGATAGAATACATGGGTTATCAATTTCCAAGTATACAATCTCAACTCAACATACGTTAATAATGTATTCCAAACTCTAATTATCCACATAATTTCAAGATTTGAAAGTCAATTTCATCTAAGCATCATTTTCACCAAAATCAAAACTAGGGTTTTAAATAAATTTGGGGCTTTTACCCCCTCTTCGTATATATGGTAGTTCTCAACTCCAATACCCATAATCCATAAGAATTTATTTGAAATTTTTAATAAATCTTGGGAAAAATCCCCTTTGTGTTAAACATAAAACTTAACTTTTGCTCAATCATCAAAACAAAGTATCATGGTCATAACAATACCACATAATCATCCTCAAACTAAAGAGATACTAAGTTAAAGGTATCCCTACCTCAAGGGAGAGCAAGAAAACTAGACTTCTAAGACGAATCCTTCGTAGAATCAATATCCAATCGGTAGAAAGCTAGATCCTTACATGGACCCCATTTGTTGCAAGTGATTTAAGCTTGAAACTTAGTGAATTGAGAGATACGTAAAGAGAGAAATCTAGGGTTTTTGAAATTAGTGTGAGAAAGGAAGAGAGAAAAAGAAAAGTGAAAGAAATGATCTAAAAAGTGGTTTTTGAGTTGCTGAATTCATGCAGACCGCTCAAGCGGTCTTTTCACCGCTTAAGCAGTGAATGAGACCTCTCAGTATCTCTGTCTGCAAAACGAGATATTGGGAACCCTTTGTATTCGCTTGAGCGACCACTTGTTCACTCGAGCGCTCCCTCGGCCTACAAAACAAACTTCTGGGAGCACCTTATCTCCGCTCGAGCGGTCACATGAAACAAGTTGTCACAAATAGTATGGGCACAAAGAATGTATGACAAACCCCATTTCTTACATCCACAAGTCCACTCTTTCAAGTCCACCTTAAATTACTAACCGTATAGGCTTACAACTTCAAATTGGAAACTGTCATTCCATCTAGGAATCTAGCTAGCTACATTCACCTTTATCTTCTCCAAAATCTGCTAAATCTTAGGAAATATAGAGCCTTTGTTGTATTTTTTCGTTGCTTTATTTCTTTTTTGAGTTGATTCCATCAACAAAACTCTTATCTTCTCTAACATTGTCACCACAGGTTTATCCCTAGAAGATCATATGCATGAATTGAAACATTCATAGAGATTATTCAACAAAATGTCACACTTTGGGAAACTGTTGAAGTAACTCCTACTCCAATGGATTGGTGGTCTTTCTGCTAACCAATTGTATACTACACAATCAACTCCTTTGATTTCTTCCATGACTTTAGTAAATATAGTAACATTGTTTGCACTAGCAGCCTTTCATAACAAATCTTTAAACACTCTACGCTTATGTTCACCCTTGAAATTGTTGTACAAATGCCTTACATAGAACCTGTGTAAAGTATTTGGAAACAACTCAGCCATTGCATCAGTTAGACCTTTTGCTTGTCACTCACGAATGTATAACAATGGGAATTCAAAATGTTGAGATCTTATCCTAACAAATTCAAAATCCACAACCATGTTTTTTTTTTTCTTTTTCCTCTTTCTTAACAATGGCATAGGCAAATGGAAATATACAGTTATTTGCATCCATCCCAACTGTATCAACAAGGCTCCACTATGTGGCCCCTTCAAATGGCAACCATCCACTCCTATGACTGCCCTACAAGCATTATGGAAACTCTTCTTCAATAAACCCCAACACAACTACAATCTCTTAAACTTTGAGACTTACTCACCCCATTCATCAACTTTCAGAACTTCTTTTACTTTCATGCATACTGTTGTTCCAAGATTAATATTTCTAATCTTTTCTACATAACCCCAAAGCATTGCAAACTATTCAGTTGCAGTACCCTTTATCATTGTCAAAGCCTTACCTTTTGCCCTCATCACTTTCTGCATGTCAACCTGCACGTTATGCTCACTTGCAATTGTGTCTATTAATGACTTAATTTGCTAGGTAGGGTTTAATTTTATCCTTTCCCAATACCTCTTCACAATCCATTTACTACTCACATGTGGTACATCAAATGTTTTGTTGCAGGTGTGTTCATTATCTACAAAGGTTTTGATTTTATACACCCCTTCACTCTTCACAAAAGAAGCATAACAAACCCAAGGACAACCAGTTTTGCACTCTGCCCTAACCTTTTGTTTGTCACTCTTAGTAAATATAATTTGCTTGCCCCACTTAATAGCATATTCCTTTACAACATCCCTAAACAGAGCATGTGTCTTGAACTCCATACCAACTTGGAATGTAGGATTATGCATGTCAATCTCACTAAAAATAAGATATTTAATCCTTTTGGAATTACTATCTTCATCAAAGGAGCTGTCAATGCTTGTTAGCTCATCAGATGAGTTGTCCAAGCTTTTTAGGTCATTGTCACCTATATCACCCAAAGCATTCTTACTACTTCCTAAACCACCAAATTCTACACCTTTGTCAACATTTTGATCATATAAAGCATCATCATCACCAAATTCATAGTCATTGTCGGCGTTGTGCCTTTTTTGAGTCTAAGGCATGCATCGCATACCAACTTGCTTTATTGACATAGAGTCGCCACTTAATTTTTAAAGGGAATTAAAAACCTTTAATAATGAAAATGAAATTAAGGCCTAGTCTGTCATAACCAAGAACATTTCGAGTTCGGGAGCTTAGGTACGAAAGTGGAAGACCATTTACATGGAAGCACCCCCTTTTGTCTAATCCGAAGATTGGCTACTCACTCTCTATTTTATGATTTTTATGGTTAATTTTTCACAAAAAAATAATTTTAGACCTAAATCCCTTAACTAACCTAAAACTATGTGATTGGAGTAAAAATGAATATCATATATTTTAGATTGAATAAATAAAGCTTTTTTTTTATTTATATAAATTGATTTTCCATTAAAAGTGGATTTTTGACAATCCATGACTTTAAACATAAACTAAAATACACAATATTCATAAAAACATACAAAACACACAATTTTGCATATAAAGAGCATAGAAACTTGCATTATCCAAAGGACAATGCAAATAACACACAAATGCCGAGAAGGACAAATAAACTTACCTGGATGCCCACTTATGTGTCTTACATGCATGCACAAAGTAAATATGAACTAGACATGCAATTAATCATACAAAATATGTACCTAGGCCTGGTTTAAGGGTTCTAATATGATTTAATGCATGAAAGACAAGTAACACATAGAATAATGCAAAACTAACCTACATGATGCTTAAACCGGGCCATGCATGCTAATTATACGATTAAAATAAACCTAAAAGCATGTTGTTTTTAACAAAAACAAATAAAACGTGCAAGAAGAAGCAAGAAAGTAAGAGAAGCCAAATAACTACATGATGGAAGGAGCTAATACCCTAACATGCTTTGAATACTGAAATAAAAAACTAAAAGATACTGAAATTAAAATAAAAAAAATAAAAAAATTACCTGTTGTTTTGAAGAAAATGCAAAAGAAGCCGAGAAAACCTTATTTTCTTGCTTGCAAACCTCCCTCAAGCTTAAGTTCTTATTAGAGTTCGTGTTCTTCAAGCCTTAGGATGTTTTTAGAAGTTTAGAATTGCCTTGGGGAGTGTTATTTTCGGAGCTAAGGTCAAAAGGAGAGAGGAGAAGGTGTTTTACT